GGAGGGAGAAGCCGCCGCCGCCGCCTCCCGGGCAGCGGGCGGTCTGGGCCGCGCGGTCCCGCTGGATTTGCAACAGGCAGGGAGAAGCTTCTCTGGCGAAAGAGCGAGGGGGAATTTATTTTTATTGTTCTGCCAAGTACACCTAGTTCCAAATACTTGCTCAGTGACTTTATTTTTTATAATGAGAATCTCAAAGCTTAGAGGTGTATTTTGTGTTCTGCTGTCTGTCAGCTCCCTTGTACTTCTTGATTACTTGCAACATGAACGCCTAAGGGGGCAAAACACCTTTCTCTCGTCAGCAGAAAGATGACTGCAATACACACTATTCTTTTTTCTGCTTAAAAGGCACAACATGCCCATAATTCCTTATTGCAATTTTTATTTGCAATGCCTTTAAAGATATTTACCATGGAAGAAAAAAAAAATCCTTTTAAAGCCTTTACCAACATCCTAACTCCCAGATCCTATCCCAGAAAGCATCTTCCCAGAAATACATACAAATTCTGTGGAACAGGCAGAAATAGAATTCAGTTTTTCAGGACAATATTCAGCTGCTTTTTCCACCACCATTTTACAGTCCAGCCATACTTTTTTTTTTTTTAATTACACAACTTTGATTCACTGGCAGAGTCAGTACTTTGAACAGAGTCATGACAATCATGCCAAGTGCGCTCAGAGAGGCCCAACTAAAGCTGTGTAAGCAGTAATCGTCCTGGCATTTCAGAGCTTTGAAGCCATTGACTTAGGAAATCAGAAAGTAAAAAAATTTTTAGTACCTATTTTTGCATGCTTAGCATGTTTTACAATTTTTTTTAAACAAACAGGATGACTGTTTTCTCTTCCTCTTTTTAAGCTCCTCAAATAAACTCAGTCAATTTCCACTACAAGTCATTTTACAACAACTAGACTGCACATGCATTTCTCTCTCTTTTTTGTTTTGTTTGTTTTTAGCAGTAAGGCAGGTGGCACGTTGATGGGGAACGAGCACTTAAAAAAAAGAATATTGGAACTGAAGAATTACAGGCTTTACAATATGTAGCATTAGATTTACCTTGTTTTTAACACTAATAGCATCAGAACTACAGCCATGTCATACAGGTCAGGTGTTTTTGCCTAAAATACTATACAATAGTATAAAGACATACTATATACAGATCAGACAAATGATTTAATGCGCCCATTTAGAAAAGATGTTTTGAGTGTGTGTATGCTTTTATGCAAATGAGGCCAGTTAATACCCTTAATTTCTGAGAAAGGGAGTTCTATGGAAAGTGTTTCTTATAATGAAATTCTGCTGCTTTTCTACTACCTGTTAAGATGCTGATGCAAAGTAAAATCGACACAGAGCAAATCACTGCAGAAACATTTTTAAAAACTATTAAGAGCTTAGAAATTTGCTAGTTATACATGTTGGACATTTTGGACCACTAAAAGCCCATTCTCTACAGAACCGTGAATCAGGTATCTCTTGGGCAGATTTAACCTCAACTGAATGACAGGCTGCATAGCCTGGTGGTATTACTGAGAAGAGTCCTCTCGTGTGTAATAGATAACAAGCAAGTTACTAAGGCCAGCTTAGAAGAAATTTTCTGTTTTGTGGCAATG